TCCCTGGCTCTGGTTCCTGACTACAGCTTCCTACTGCGGCAAACCATGGCAGGCAGTGATGATGGCTTAAGTAATTGGTTCCTGCCACGCCTGTGGGAAACATGGATTGCATTTCCAGCTCCCTGCTTCGGTCCTGGCCAAACTCTGGCGATTGTGGACACTGAGCCAGTACATGGGAGCTCTTTATTTCTGTCTGCCTCTTATATAAATAAAGTAATAAGCAAATAAATAAATTGTAAAAACAAACAAACAAACAAACAAACAAAAAACCTTGCTCCATTTCCTTCTGGCCTCTATGATTTCAGCCGAGAAGTCTGCTGTCATCCCCCGATTGAAGACCTGCTTTCAAAATGTTGGCAGTTTCTTTGGATTTGTCCCATTAGGGTTTGCTCAGCTTCTTGAATGTGCAGTGCCAAACTTGGGGAGTTTTCAGCCATTATTTCTTCAAATACTCTGCAGCCCAACACTTACTCCTTTCCTCCCAGAACCCTAAGGGTGGGGATCCCTTTTGATACTGACCAACAGCTACCTGAGGCTTAATTCATTAGTATAGGTCTGTTTTCTCTGTGTTGCTCACAGGTAAATTCTATTGACCCTCCTGCGTGATCCATGTTTGTATCCTTGGTCTTCTCTCTTCTGTTGAGCCCATCTAGCAATTTTTTTTTTCTGTTGTGTTATCTTTCAAGTCTGTAACTTCCCTTTCCTTGCTGAAGTTTGCTATATTTGCTTGTAAGATAATTCTGCATTAAGTGAAGCAAAAGCATTGCGTTACAGTCCTGACAGGTCATTCCAACATCTGATCTCATTGTTGGCCTCAGTTGGAATCACAGTGGAATGTGCTGGGATTGCCATCTTTTTCAAGTTGTGGTTTTCCTATTGTTGGTGTGGCAGGTGATTTTCAGTGTTATCTAGACATATTTCCTGTTGTGTAAGGAGACTGGGTCTTAGTTAAATCTTACATTCACAGATTATCTCCCTGTTAATGTGAGCGTGTAGTTTATGGCCTAATTTGGTGACTGTTTTCCCAATAACGGTTTGCTATTTGGAGCCATCAGAGTATTACTTTGGTCTCCTTGGTTTATCTGTGTCTTTGGGATCCTCACAAGAGTACTGTCCAAAGGGTTGGCAGTGGTTTGCCGGGGTGTGCTGCCCCTGTCTCTCAGTGGGATGGGGAGTCTCAGAATTGTGGCATCAAAATGGCTTCCCTGGCTGGGCACTTCCTATGTCTTGTTCCCACTGCCACTACGGGCTCCCTAGAGGGATTAGGGCTTGGAGAGTGTCAGGCCCGGCAGCAGGCACAAAGTGATTTCTGGGTCTGAGTGGTTGTTGTGGTAGAATCCCCACCCCCTGCCAGTTCACCTGACTGCCCTAGCACCTCCTTCCTTACCTTATCTTTTAGTTTTGTTTCTAAGGACATTTTAGGTGAAGTACATTTTGTTGTAATTGAAATGGTTTTTTAAAAATTATTACTACTTGGGGCCGGTGCTGTGGTTCACTTGGCTAATCCTCTGCTTGTGGCGCTGGCATCCCATATGGGCGCCGAGTTCTAGTCCCGATTGCTCCTCTTCCAGTCCAGCTCTCTGCTGTGGCCCAAGTGCTTGGGCCCTGCACCCGCATGGGAGACCAGGAAGAATCACCTGGCTCCTGGCTTCGGATTGGCTCAGCGCCGGCCGTAGCAGCCATTTGGAGAGTGAACCAACGGAAGGAAGACCTTTCTCTCTGTCTCTCTCTCTCACTATCTATATCTCTACCTGTCAAATTAAAAAAAAAGTTTAAAAAAATTATTACTACTTTCAGATTGACTGAAGTCAGTGAATAATAAGATTTTTTGTGTATTAATCTCATGTTTAAAAAATTTGCTGGACTCTTATTGGCTCTAAGATTTTGGTTGGATTATATTATGTGCCAATACTTTTATACTTTAAATTTTCTTTCCAATTCTTTTAAGTCATATATGCTTTTCTTTTAGTCTTGTAGTTGACAAGTCCTGGAGTACATCTTAATTTTGATCCTGACTTCAGCATCTAGCAGTTAAGATGTTTTTGTTACAGATGTTTGGTGGATGTTCTTTATCTGGCTAATCACGATCCTTTCTCCTTCCTAATTTGCTAATGGATATTTGAAAATCATGAATTGGTACTGAATTTTGTTTACACCAGTTTCATTGTTGTAGAATTCACATAAAGTGTGCAGGTTTTTTTTTTTTTTAAGATTATTTTTTATTTATTTGAAAGACAGAGTTACAGCAAGAGGTCGAGACAGAGAGAGAAGCCTTCCACCTGCCGGTTCCCTCCCCGGTTGGCTGCAATGGCCGAAGCTGCACTGATCCAAAGCCAGGAGCCAAGAGCTCCTTCCAGGTCTCCCATGTGGGTGCAGGGGCCCCAGTGCTTGGGCCATCTTCTACAGCCTTCCCAGGCCATAGCAGAGAGCTGAATCGAAAGAGGAGCATCTGGGACTAGCCCATATGGGATGCTGGTACCACAGGTGGAGAATTAACCTACTGCGCCACAGCACTGGCCCCTAAATTTGCTCTTAAATACATGTTACCTGTTGATATTGCACTGTATATTAACTTAGTAATTTCATCTTATACTTGCTTCTTTGTACTGTATAGAAATACTACTGATTTTTATACATTGACCTTTTATACTTCAGCCTTGATAGATTATTTTTTGTAGTTTTTTTTTTTTTTTAGGATTCTTTTTCTACATAGATGTCATCTGAAAAGACAGCTTTATTTCTTCTCTCTAGCCTACTTTTATTTGTCTTACCCTATTGCAGTGGATTCCCAGTTTGTTTTAATAGACTTGTTAACAGTTCTAGGGATTTTTTTAAATTTATTATTCCTATTTGTTTTAAAGATTTATTTATTTATTTGAAAGCAGAGATACAGAGAAAGGGAGAAGCAGAAATCTTCCAACTGCTGGCTCACTCCCCAAATGGCTGCAACAGCCGGAGCTGAGCTGATCCGAAGCCAGGAGCCAAGAGCTTCTTCTAGGTCTCTCACACAGGTGCAGGGGCCCAAGCACTTGGACCATCTTCTACTGCTTTCTAAGGCCATTTACAGGGAGCTGGACCGGAAGTGGAGCAGCCGTGACTTGAGCCAGTGCCCACATGGGATGCGGGCACTGCAGGTAGTGACTTTACCTGCTCTGCCACAGCGCTGGCCCAGGCACCAGGGAGTTTTGTTCAGTATTGCGTTATTTTGTATGTTAGCTGTAGGGCTCTTGTAGATGCCCTTTCTCAAACTGCAGAAGTTACTCTCTGTTCCTAGCCTGTTGAGAGCTTTTAATCACACATTGGTATTGAGTTCTATTCCGTATTTTTCTGCTTCTGTTGAGATGATGTGTTTAAACTGTGTGTCTAATGGAACCATTATTCTTCCCCCAGGGACAATTTATACATAAGGCTTATTTGTTCCTTGAAAGTTGTTAGAACTTAGTTATAAATCACTGAGACACAGCCTTCTATTTGAGGGTAGTTTCTTTTAAGATCAGTCTTTACACTGGATTGATTATGAGGAAAAATGGAAGGCACCAAAGTCAGTGAGTATCCCACACTTTCTTAAAAGTTTGATAGTAGGTGGCCATCGCTTTGGTATAGCAGGTAAAGCTGCTGCCTGCAGTGCCAGCATCCCATATGGGCGCAGGTTCACGTCCTGGCTGCTCCACTTTCAATCCAGCTCCCGGCTGATGGCCTGGAAAAAGCAGCAGAGGATGGCCCAAGTGCTTGGACCTCTGCTCCCGTGTGGGAGACCTGGAAGAAGCTTCTGGCTCCTGGCTTCAGATTGGCCCAGCTCCAGCTGTTGCACCCATTTGGGGAGTGAACCAGCAGAAGGAAGATCTCTCCCTCTCTCTGTGTGTAACTCTGCCACTCAAATAAATAAATCTTTTTTAAAAAGTTTGGTAGTACTTCTGGTAATATTTTAGTAGGAAAAGGGGAAAGAGTAACCCTGAAGAAGTAGTTTTCTAGAAAGCAAATGATGAAAATGGGGCTGGGGTAGCCAATCAGAGTTGATGGGTTCTTCAGTGACTTCTGCATGTGATACTGATATTGGTCTATTCGTAGGAGAATGTAAAATCCCTAACACAGTGTGGGGCTTTAGTTCTTCTCCAGTACTGGACTGCCTACATAAATCAATAGAAAAATCCCTTTCATTATAGAAAATCCCTTTCAAATAGAAAAAAACCTCTTTCATTTCTTAATGTCTGAAGAGAAGTTTAATGAATCAGAAGCACTCAAAAATCAGATAACACATCGCTCTGGAATTTTCTGCTGAAAGGAATATTAGCAACAACATGCATTTGGTCTAGCCTCCTCAGCCACACAATTAAACAGACTGTGCTCCAAAAGAAAACAAGAAAACAACCTGAACGCTGCTGGCTAAGGGTTTGCCAGTGATGGTGAAATGCATACCATCTGTTGCGTCCCTCTTTGCTTCTGACAGCTGTAAAATTTCCAGTTATTTTTTCCCACTGTGTGTATTTTGGTGCAGTCCTAAGACCTTTTACAGGCTTCCAAAACACAGCTCCCCGCCTCTACCCAGCTCTGCTGTAAGCTGGTAACATTCTTGCCTTGCACTAACAAAGTGTGAGATATCAGACGGTATCTTCTAGGTGCAGAAGGCAGCCTTCTGATCCTTAGAACTGTTATTTCTGCCAAAACATTGAACTACTTTTAGCACTGTTCCATAAGTCTACAAATTTGATGCAGTAGTCAATGCAAAGGAGGTATTCCTATTCGGAAGGGCTTCTTCCCAAGAACTGTATGTGAATTGCCAACCAGCATTTGGGCTAAAATTCCAACTCCATCCTCTCTACCTGGTGTCTACTCAACTTCAGATCAGAGGGACTCCAGATAGGACTGCCAAGGAAGAGGTAGGACTCGATGCTTTTCATTTAGCCGAAAGTTGCAGTGCAGGTCAGGATCCCAGAGGGAGCTTAGCTGTGAGGATGCAGTTTGTTCAAGGGGATACTCACCGGGTGGCCTTTGTCCTCTAGAGCTCCAGTGGCAGACTGACAGATTTCCTGAGCTTCTACACGCTCCCCTCCACGGTGATGCAGCACCCTGCTCACAAGAGCCTCAAAGCTGCCTACTCCTTCTACAACATTCACACCGAGACACCCCTGCTGGACCTCATGAACGACGCACTCATCATAGCCAAGCTGGTAAGTGCTGCAGCCCTTTCCGTACTCTCTGGGGCTCCCAATATGTATGCCAGAATACAGAAAACATCCTACTCTCTTTTTTTAATTTTATGTAAGTTATACAAGTTTCATGCATTTCATATATACAGAATTAGGAATATAGTGACATTTCCCCTCCACCCTCTCTCCTGCCCATGCTGCAACCCTTTCTCCTCCTCCCTCTCACATCCTTACAAAGATCTATTTTCAGTTTACATAATGATCATATAGTTAACTCTACACTAAATAAAAGAGCTCAACTAGTAGTATGAAAGAGAAAAAAATGTTCCTCAACAGAACAGATAAGGGCGGCAAGCAATCATCAGATCTCAGACTATCTATTTCACCCCAATACATTACATTTCAGGTACTCTATTAGGTACTGCGGATCAGGGAAAACATATGATATCTTTTGGGGACTGGCTTATTTCACTAAGTATAATGGTTTCCAGTTGTAGCCGTATTGTTGCAAAAGACAGGATTTTTTTTTTTTTTTTTTTTTTTTTTACAGCTGGAGTAGTAGTATTCCACAGTGTATATTTTTATACCATAATTTCTTTATCCAGCTGATGGACATCTGGGTTGATTCCATATCTTAGCTATTGTGAACACGGGGTTATAGATAACTTTCATATGCTGATTTCTTTTGGTTTGGGTAAATTCCCAGGACTGGGATGGCTGGATCACATCGTAGGTCTATATGCAGATTTCCATACTGTCTTCCATACAGAGGGAAGTGGCTGCACCAGTTGACATTCCCACCAACAGTGGACCAGGGTACCTTTTTCTCCACGTCCTCACCAGTGTGTGCCATTTGTTGATTTCTGTATGTGAGCCATTCTAACTGGAGTGAGGTGACACCTCACCATGGTTTTGATTTGCATTTCCCTGATGGCTAGTGATCCTGAGCATTTTCCCCGAGTGTCTGTTGGCCATTTGAATTTCCTCCCTTGAAAAATGCCTGTTTAAGTCCTTTGCCCATTTCTTAAAGCGATTGTTTGTTTTGTTGTTGAATTTCTTGAGCTCTTTACAGAGTCTGGATGTTAACCCTTTATCAGCTGCATAGTTTGCAAATATTTTCTCCCATTCTGTCACCTCTGTTTTCTTTCACACAGATAGATCTCATCTATTAACCAACAGTCAATGGAAGAATCTCAAATTTCTTTTTTATTTGACAGACTTATAGACAGAAAGCGAGACAGAGAGAAAGGTCTTCCTTCCGTTGGTTTACTCCCCAAATGGCCACCAAGGCTGGCACTGTACCGATCCGAAGCCAGGAGCCGGGTGCTTCTTCCTGGTCCCCCAATTGGGTGCAGGGACCCAAGCACTTGGGCCATCCTACACTGCCCTCCCAGGCCACAGCAGAGAGCTGAACCAGAAGAGGAGCTACCGGGACTAGAACCCGGCACCCATATGGGATGCCGGCGCCACAGGCGGAGGATTAACCAAGTGAGCCACGGCGCCGGCCCCAAGAATCTCAAACTTTTAAAATTTTAGTGACTATTTTCATCACTAATTTTTTTTGCATTTTAATAAAAAACATTTTTTTTTTTTGACAGGCAGAGTGGACAGAGAGAGAGACAGAGAGAAAGGTCTTCCTTTTGCCGTTGGTTCACCCTCCAATGGCTGCCGCGGCCAGCGCACCGCGCTGATCCAATGGCAGGAGCCAGATACCTATCCTGGTCTCCCATGGGGTGCAGGGCCCAAGAACTTGGGCCATCCTCCACTGCACTCCCTGGCCACAGCAGAGAGCTGGCCTGGAAGAGGGGCAACCGGGACAGAATCCGGTGCCCTGACTGGGACTAGAACCCGGTGTGCCAGCGCCGCATGGCGGAGGATTAGCCTAGTGAGCTGCGGCGCCGGCCTATAAAAAACAATTTGTACAAATCAAAAACTACCCCTGCATATCCATAATATGAGGAAATAACCTAAGAAAAAGACATGTTTCCATAATAAAAGGAAAATAGCTGAGTAAATATTTGTGTTGGGTTGAATAATTGACAGCAATAAGTTTTTTTGATTCAAGTCTGTGAATTGTAAAATGAAAAGAATTATAGTCCTCCCTACCTGTGGGCTGTAGATCCCAGGACCACAGAGGATATGGAACCCTCTATACCAGCACTGTGCTTTTGCACCAGGTGACAAGGTAACTGAGACGGTTACTCAGTGACTCAAGAGTGGGTAACACACAGCATGGATAAGCTGGACAATGATGATTCACATCTGAACAGGAAGCACAAGATCTCATTATGCTACTCAAAGTGGCACACAGTTCAAAACTGATGAACTGTTTGTGTCTAGAACTTTCCATGTAATGTTTTCAGTTGCCTGGGTAACTGGAAGTTTAGAGATGGGGGAACTACTGAAAATTCAAAATGTTCCTTAACGGTATCTGTTATTCTCTGTTCTCTTGGTCTGGAAATTATAAGAATTGTTAAATTCTTGTTTCAGGTAAACATTTCCTTTAAAAAGAAATTTAAATAATCTGGCAGATAACATTTGGATAATATGTTGATGATGGGAAAATAATTGTTTATGAGAAATTGGAAACATTGCATTTCTCTAGAATTTGATCATTAAAAGTACTGTTTTTTAAAATTGATTACTTGGGGGGCAGGCATTGTGGCCCAGCAGGTTAAGCTGCCACTGAGGATGGCCTCATCCCATATCAGAGTGCTAGTTCCTATCTAGCTTCCTGCTAATTTGCTTTGGGAGGCAATGGGTGGTGACTCAAGAATTTGGGTTCCTGCCACCTATGTGGGAGACCCAGATGGAGTTCTGGCTCCTGGCCCAGCCCTGGCCATTGAGGGCATTTGGGGAATGAAACATTGGATCAAATATATCTCTCTGTCTCTCCCTGTCATATACCTTTTTTTTTCTGATTTTAGATTTTTTTCTTTGTCATATGCCTTTCAAATAAATAAATTTTTTAAAAAAATATATTATTTATTTTGTTTGAAAGGCAGAGAAACAGAGAGATATTCCATAACGCATTTTTTGAAGATAAACTTATCCTTTAAAAATTTATATATTTGAGAGAGAAAGAACACACTCATCCACCGATTCACTACCCAAATGCCCACAACAGCTGGAAGTTGAGAACCTAATCCAGGTCCCCAGCGTGGGTGGCAGGGACCCAACCATGTGAGCCACCAGCTGTCACCTCCCAGGAAGCTGGAATCAGGAGCCAAAATCTGAACTTGAACCCAGGCACTCTGACATGAGACGGAGGCATCCCAACTGCTAGGCCAAATGCCTGCCCTGCACTTTTCAATTTAGCATTTCTGAATTATCTGGCTGACTCCATTAGATTCACTGCTAGTTTTACGAGTTTTGAACTGAATTCATAACATATTCTATTACAGACATTAAACTATTATGAATGCATGATCATGCTATTAATAGAGGAATTAAATGTTATACTCAATACATAAAGCATTCTAGTCCTTTGTTTCAAATTTTAAATTCTTGTTATGTTGGCAGAAAGGATTTGATGTATTCAATGCACTAGATTTGATGGAAAATAAAACATTCCTGGAAAAACTCAAGTTTGGTATAGGAGATGGCAATTTACAGTATTACTTGTACAACTGGAGGTGTCCGGGAACAGAGTCTGAAAAGGTGAGTTGTAAGCTCCATGAATCTATCCAGACAATCCCATTCTTGCTTCCCTGAGATTTTGGTGTCTCTTAAAAATACAGACCTGTTGTACTATACCAGTGAATCTCTCAGCTGCTTGCTCTTACTATTCCATTTCTTCCTTTCCTTTAGGTTGGACTTGTACTACAATAAATGGATATTTTTATTTCTAAAAATCGGACATCATCGTTTCTTAATAGTCTATGTAATGATACCTGGAATTGCCATTCCAAAGAAAAATAAAAAGCACAACTTTAAGTGAAATTGAAGTAGTTGGTAACCATCAGAAAAGATGAAAATACTTCCATATGTGACCAATAGTACACATTCTAGCTAAATCATTAAAATGCACCCCTTATTCACTGTTTACCCATTTATGAGGGATGATGGGGTACAGAGCACATTTCTCTAATTTTCAAACTTTTGGCTATTTTGCTGAAGAGAGGGTGTTTTTCCACTCTAGGAAAATAACCATTTTTCCTATGAACTGAAGAAATAACGCTTGTAAAAGGAAACCTTTGCTATTATATGGAGACAGACTGCTACACTTCTGTTTGATGGTATGTTTGTGTAGGAGAATGAAGGATCCATTGGGAAAATTCTCACTGCTGTCACTTTACCTGCTATCACTGGGAACACCTAAGCGTGGACTCAACACTTCCATAACTCAGTGACAAGGCACGGCTGAGTGTGAAAAAAACATAAAGATGTACTGGGAACTGGTCCCTTTATTTCTCCATAAGCAACACTGCCCAATCCATAGACACCCAGACTTGTACTTTGGTCTTGAGCAGGTCAGTGAATTGTTTGAAAAGCAAAGTTGTGTGCACACGTGAAGCGTGCTCTCTGAAAGAGCATATGCCCACGGCCAGACTTTTCTGCTGCCCTACATCAAGGACATGGGAGGAAAAGGAAATAAAGGCTCTAAACTCAAAAGAAACGCCCAGTGGGATTCGTTAGTGCTATCAGGACCTTGATAGTCTGAATGTTTTTATTGCTTATGCAAAATTGCACATATTCCTTTATGCTGACTCTTAATTTATCATGAAACTGTCATGCTAATGGAAAATGTCTTATTTGTAAATAAGTATTCATAATTTTGTTACTGATGGTGTTTTTATCTAGAATTTGAAAACTCGTTTCACGGTGTACATATAAGTGTATATATTGCCAACAATCCAAGGGACAAATAAGATGCCAAACGAGGCCATATAGACTGGCCTAGACTAAAGTACCACTAAGCAGATGCGTGTTCCTGCCTGCACTGTGCCAGTGCCTCAGCTGTGCTGTCCACAAGTGAACCCTCCTGGACATGATGGCATTGCCAGTGAAGCCAGTCATCTTTTACCAGGGAGGGTCAACAATCCACAGCCCAGCGCCCATCTGTGTAAAGCCTAAGAATTTTTTCTTTGAATTGGTGGTGGGGGGGGGGGGGAGTGGGGAGGTCAGAATCATTTCGTGACATGTGAAAATTCTATGAAATTCCCATTTCTGTCTCCATAAATAAAGTTGTACTGGAACACTGCCACACCTTCATTCATGTATTGCCTCAAAGGCAGATTGGGTGGTTCTGACAGCCCCCACAGCCTACTGAAACACTGACCGACTGACCCTTCACAGAGAATGTCTTGGGGCAGTGATTTAGTCAAGAAACACAGCTGTGGCATCCCAAGACTACCACTAGAGGGACACCACGGCTAGAGTGTTCTGAAGACAATGGAGACTTCTTTCATGGCTTCAAACCCAGTGCATTAACTACTCTCTCTCACCAGAAGGAGAAAGCCTTCAAGAAACAAAACTATACCGATTCACTGTAACACTGAGATACCGGCATAAGGTAAATGAGATTTTAACTTCATCTGGAATCAAGGCTGAAGTTAAGAACTTAGGTGCACTTGTTTTTATAGCAGAAAGTTATATTTGTACAAAATAGTTTTCAGGTCACTGTAGAACTGCCAGATATTTTGTCGAAAGTTTACCTCATGAGATGAACCGGATAGACTATTCCTTTAGATTCATTTATATAGTTGCAGTTGACTCAGAATTCAGTTTCAATTTTTAAAAAACTTTATTTGACAGGTAGATTTATAGACAGAGAGACAAAGGTCTTCCTTCTGTTGGTTCATTCCCCAAATGACCACCATGGCCGGCGCTGCGCCAATCTGAAGCCAGGAGCCAGGTGCTTCTTCCTGGTCTCTCATGTGGGTGGAGGGACCCAAGCACCTGGGCCATCCTCCACTGCCCTCCCGGGCCACAGAGGAGCAACTGGGACTAGAACCCAGTGCCCTTATGGGATGCCGGTGCTGCAGGTGGAGTATTAACCAAGTGAGCCATGGCACCAGCCCCAGTTTTAATTCTTAACTGCATTTTTCTCTTTATAACTTAAGATTACCAGTGAACATTTTAAAATACAGAATCAGTAAATCTGTTTATAAAATAGCTATTAAAACAATTTATATACAATATATAGTATGATTCAAAAAATTACATTGTTGTACAGTCTTTGTGTATAATGAAAATGCTCTATTTATAAGGTATCCCTTTTGCACAAAATGAAATGGAAATGAACAGAGCTGGCATAATCCATTAGTCCACTGGAATTTAGGCTGGGAAAAATTTTGGGAATGCAATCCCTTCCTCACCAGCTGTAGAAAGTGATTTTTCTGAACAGCAGACACTCAGACACAGAGCATGGACCAGACTCCATTTCCCAACCTGAGGGACTCCTGCAACACAGACCCACCTGAGAACCTACCCCTTGGCTTTAGCCTCATCCTCCCACATTTCACCTAACCATCATCATCTTGTTTATACGGAGTAAATTTGAAGTTAATCATGTACAGTGGGCAACTGCTAACTAGTCAAATATCTTAGCTTTTTGTGTGAACATCAAGCCTTTCTCCTCAGCCTATGTCTATGTCTGCCTACAAGGAAGTCAAATTGACATGAAGCAAAAAAGGATATATTGCTTCTGAAACAATGCATTGCTTTGTGTTTACTGTTCTTCCTTTAAAAAACTGATAGTGCTTCTCCAATCCACTTTCACCTACCCTACTACCTGGGAGCATGTTTCCTTGGCACATTTTCCAAGTTGGATGGAAAACTAAGTACTGCAGGACTACAGATGTTCTTGCATATAAACATTATGACCAGCCTTTAAAAGGTGCAGTTATAAAAGCATGGACATTATTTCCAATAAGTTTGTTTTTTCATATTAAAATATTGTCTGCACTGAGTATTTTTAAGCTTTGATATATCCATGCCATATGGTTACAAAAAGTAGGAATCTTATCAAATAGGATTTTTTTTTTTTTTTACTTGAGAACAAGTTTATTGGGAAGGGTTTCTGTTAAAGTGGAAGCAAGTCCCTGTCACAATTACAGCTCTGGAGACCTAGTCGTTTCAGAGGTCCCAGTGTTCACAATTAATAGCAAAACCAAACTCACGCAGAGAGGTGACAGTCTTTAGACTGCTCTGGAAGGTACAACCATTGATTTCAGCTGTCCTCGGAAGCAGGCCCTCCCCCTGAGGAGAAGTGAGGTGGGGTGGGGTGGAGTCAATGCCTATGCGTCTTCAGATAACTTAGCTACTTGGACGAGATTATGCACGCCTTAGAAAATCCAGTGAGGGAACGAGTCCCTGCGGGCAGGGGATGTGGCACAGCACCAGTTCCACAGGGAGCGTACAGGATCCTGGGGTCAGCGGCTGTCGGTTTATGGCACACAGAAGAACAGCAGTCACTGGAAGCGGGGGACGGGATGCACGAGAGCAGGGGGTGTCCCGCAGGCCCACCCAGCCTTCCGCCTTGCTGAAGGGTGAGGCCGTGCTCTGCGGCAGCTTGTGGGAACACTGGGCACAGGTAAAAAGCAAAAACCAAAGCCCCAGTCTTCTCCCCCAGAAAGTCCATGTCCGAAAACAGAGGGGACAGTTAGGGTTCCCACGGAGGACTCCGCCTGCCATCCACTTTTGTCTCCACGTGATACAAGACATCGGCCAGGGTGTGCTCTACCACAGCACCCCAGCCCATGTCACTCATGGGGCGGCGAGGTCTTTACAAGGATACTTGAAGCACGGCCCGAAGTTAATAGAGACTGTGCAGCTTTTGTACAGTGAGATGGCTGGGAAGTAAACCCCCTCAAAAATATCTTTGTAAGCCACACTTTGATTGGCACCATTTTTATAAAATATTATCTCACTATGGGGACTCCGCTTTAGGCACTTCTCTGCTTTATCCACGAAGTCTTTCTCCTCAAAATACAGATAACTCTTGAACTTGATCAAAGCCTTGTCTTTGTATGTGTCAGGCAATGACTTGCCTGTCTCCGTGTCTTCAGGAAGGTTGATGTAGAATCCCAGGACATCTCCCTGTCCGTAGCCAGAGGAGTAGTGTTTGCCAATGGACTGATGGAACTTGGTTCCCTTTTTGCTCCGCCAAGGATAGCTGAATTTATCATAGCCCAAGGGAGCTTGGAGGTTGCCTAAGGGCTGAGACCAACCCAGTCTGGCAGCAGTGTCGGGTGGCATCTCATTCACAGTGATCTCAAAGTACCAGGCACCTTTCCATACCCCATGAGAGGCCCCCACCATGGAGTAGCCCTTCTCTCCAACCACAGTCAGCCGGTCATTGAAGATCTTCAGCTGGGGAGCTCTATCATGTAGGGCTAACAAAACTCGCTCGTACAAGCAGGCTCTGTAGAGGTCTCCAGGGATAGATTTTCCTGCCCAACAGTCAAGTTCGAGCTTCTCAGGGTCAGGGGCATGGGGGTCAGGCTCAGCTAAAATATACCGATAGCCATCTTTATTAAATGGATGCTCCAAGGGGTAGCCATGAGGGGGAAGGTGCTGAACAGAAAACAAAGGGTCACTGCGGGCCTTCTTGGTGGTCCCCGTGGTCCCTCCATCCTGCTGTTTGTGCTTGGCTCCTCTTCCTTTTCCACTGCTCCCTGCTGCAATGCCCCCATTTAGATTCCCACTGGTAGACACAGCACTGCTTTGTTTCTGGTTGTTGTAAGCAGGACCGATGTTACTAAGATCCTGATTCAGAAGTCCAAATTTGGGGTAATCTTCAGGGTCTTTGCTCCCTGGATCAGGGTGCTCCTTTACCAAAAACACATCTCTCTCTTTACTAATGGTTTTAACAATGTTTTTTGGCCAAGTCATTTTCCCAGGTCTCTGGTTGTCATGCACTCCCAGTATTTATCAATAAATGGTATAATATCCTTATCTTTGGAGAACATGGTTTTCGGGTGCTCATCCTGTGTTCGGGACTGCCATGTAAGGTTGGCCAAAGCACTAAGGCACATTTCCTTCAAGTCTGCTTGCTTCCGGAGGAAATAGGTATTCCCACTGTGATGGCAAACATTGCAATGAAAACTGTAGTTAGTCATGAAAGGCAGGCAGAATGAAGTGTCGATGCCAAAAGTCTCTACCATGAACGATTTCGTACAGATGCCACACTGCAGCTCCACTTCCCCCAGCTGCCAGCAGTTCTCATCCACCAAACCCGTCTGCACGTCCATCACCTCCGATGTGTCCCCGGCGCCGTCTAGTGTATCCTTCCCATTCGTGGATTCCATCTTTAAACCGCTGCTTATATCCGCCAAGCTGGCATCCCCACTCTCAGCTTCTCCCCATCTGGGCTCCGCCGCGGGAGCAGCAGACGTCCCCTCTCCAGCCAGAGCGGCTACTACTGGTGCAGCCGGCTTCGTCTCTCCGTCTTCTGCAGCTGCTGCATTTGCAGCCACTCCCGGGCTCGGCCTGCCACCTGCTCCCGAGCTGGGTCCAGTTCCCACCACCGCCATGCCTGCACTCAAATAGGATCTTAAGAACATACATAAATTAAACTTACTTTTATTGTTTCAAGGCATCTTTACAAAATATCCTTTGAAAAATTGTATGAGATGACAAGCTTACACAAGATTACTTTGAAGTTGTCTTTTTACTTTTGGGTGGTTTCCTTTTCTTATTAGGGTTTGCAATCAGTTTCTTTATTTTAAGGGGCTGTAACGCTACAGCAGAGGCTGGCTGACCTTCTGCAAGTTTCCTCTTGGGTTTTGAGAGGTCTTCAAATGAAGTTTCCAAAATCTCTCCGCCTGGCTTTTCCAAAGCCTCCCCGGAACCTTCAGTTGTGTCTGGAAGCCAGGGTACATTTAAATCGGGTACTCTGGGGATGATGGCACTGACTTCATCCACGAAGTCCGTGGAGTTCTTTTTAAACCCCAAGGCTAGGACACATTTCAAGCCAATGACCGGGGCGATTCTCTCACTGAGCCGGGGAAGCTGGCAGGCAGGCACGGCTCTGCTCACACTCAGCTGGATCAGGTGAGAGGTGATGATGGCAGGCTTGGCCGACTTACACACCAGCACCAGCAGCAGCTCGCTCCTCTCCAGGGCTCTGGTGACCTCGTTGACGCCGATGGCCAGCTGCTTCCTGATGTGCACAGGCGACCACCCCGAGGCTGGCTGCTTAGCGTCTGCCTCTCTCTCGTCCAGAGCCTCGCCAATATCAGCATCGAGGTTGCATTTTTCTCGGCTTTGCTTTTTGACACAAGTTTTTTTCTTTTTCTTCTTATCCTCAATCTTCTGAAGTCCAATTGATCTAAACCTGTCTTCCAGGGTCTGGAGGATGAAGTGCATGTGGTCCCTGTCCAGCTCACTCCAGCAGATAGCATACGGGTTGTTCAAGGACGTCTTTACAACCAGAGGCCTCGTCTTCCGGACAGATCCCCGTGCTGGGGCTTGAGGGGCCGCAGCCATCGTGGAAAATCCTTCAGAGATGCAAAATGACAATGGAAAAGTCATGTTAGCTAGAAATGCACGCCTTCAGAGTACCTTGGTCGTACGGATTCTTGGTAAGCTATAGCAAGCATGTGTATGTAGACCAATTAGGTGACCACACATTTAACCTCTTTCAAGATTAACTTTCCCCATTTGTCTCATGACTTTGTCTTTATTCACAGGCAGGATGTGAATGTTCTGCATGGTTGTAATCGGTGAAATTCCACTTGTTTATTCATTCAAAATGTTCATAATTCTCTTTTTGGGGGCTGTATGGCATTAATCTTATAGATTTGTTTCCATTTTCTAAAGTGCTCTCTAGTTGGGACTCCTGTTCACTGAGCACCTGCAGTGTGTGGATGGAGTTCTAGGCCCTGGGATTCATGGGGCCCAGGAGACCTCTGCCATTCATAATTAACCAACTGTGATTCTGTCAAGACCTGAGCCGTGTGCTCCCTTCTGTGACTCTGCCTTCCTCCTTGCACCCAGTTTCTTGTATATCCGTCCTGAAACACTGGCTGCACAGGCAGAGGTATACTTGAATCTCCCCTGCCCCTCCCCACACGGTTATTCCAAGCTGACTTCCCTCCCTGGCAACTTTACAAAAACTGAGGAAACGTGGTGGTGAGACTTAAAGACATTGTTTCAGTAAGGAAAAGCAAGAAGAGGGATCCTTACTGCTGGGATCCACTGGTCTAGGGCATACCCTCCCTATCCTCAGGGCGACTGCCTAGGCCTGCCTTTCCTCGCCTTCTATCTGGCATTCAGTTGAGAACCATGGGCACCCTCGTGGCAAAGCTAATGGAAGCTACGTGCTCTCCGAGAGTGTGTGTGCAACATGTCAGAACATACAAGGCCCCTGCTGCGTGTGCTCCTTGATTCTCAAAACATTCCTGCAGAACTCCCCAAGGTGGGAGTGAGGAAACAGACTCACTACGCCAAGTCACAAGTAGTTTTCCAAATCCCAGTTTTCTGCTTATTCAGTCCTAGCTGCACCTCAGAAATAACCTGTGGCTTTAAAAATATTTATCCAGATAGTTGGTCTTCACCTAGAATCTCTGAGAATAGGGCCAGGGCATCTGTGTTAGTGAAAAGCTGCCCAGGTGAACCTGACAGAGAACCAGAATGAGCAACTGCAGGTGTGGGAGAGGCCGCCCTTCCACACCGGGCAGCTCTGAGAAATGGCCCTCACCTCTTCTCAGCTGTGACGCTCCTCCCAGTCACCTTCCCACAGAAAACTTAAATTCCACTCCCTGGGGTCAGAGATCAAACCCCAGTCGTGTCAGTAGTACCCACGCTGGGCACTGCTGCCTACGCTGCTTCCTTCGGGCCCACCACACTGCCCTCCCCAGCATCCCGACAAGCTCAGGGAACTGGGAAGGAAAGTGATTCTTCCAAATCCACTTAAGCATCACTAACTGCTGGCATCAGGTTAAAGCTGGTCAGGAAGGGGAAGTAAGTGAGGAGCAAGACAAATGCGACTGCACAGGGATCTTGCCAAAACACAAGTCCCTTAAGATGTTCAGCATCTGAACAGCAGGGGTAGAGACTTACAGCTCTGTGCTCCAGAGGGGTAACAAGAGGCGTTAACTTCTGAATGCAGAACCTGGTGCGGGAGATAAAAAGGTGTAAGTGGCTTGGATAAGCAGAAGTTCATGCAGTACAATCCAGAAACAAAATACTGTAAGAATTGCTTGGGAAAATAGACCTCGCTGAGGTGCCTTCCGAACTATGTCTCCGAGCCTCTACTTCCAATAGAATCAAGGCAAACGACCCAGACAAAGAGGGTTCTTATCTCCTGGTTCTATCTCCAGAAGGCCTGGGGCGGGGCGGGGCGGGGCGGCATTTGGGGCTGGAGCCAGGAATACCATCCGGTTTTCCCAGGTGGGTGGCAGGAACCCCAGTAACTTGAGCCATTACCATTTCAGGGATCCCAGTGTTTGCATCAACAGGAAGCTGGGGTCTGCAGCTGGGTTTTGAACCCAGGCACTCCAGTGTGGGGCACAGGCATCTCAACTGGTAGGCTAAATGCCCGCTCCCCAACTGCAAACTGACGGTGCCACGGAAGGCCCTCCACGCTCTGACCCCATGTCTCACCTGCCTTTCTCCCTACGCTCCCCCCAGCACATTTTACACTCAACACCAAACCACACGCATACTCACTAAGCCATTAGTTTCTCCCATCCCTGTCTATACTGCTTGGAATACCACGCCTCCCTTCAGCCCCTCAGTGCACGCGGAGCTGGGGAACGCAGAAGGGCCAGGGTGGGGTTTTATCTTTGTAGTTCCCGCGCCCACCAGGTGCGGTAACCCAGGCACCCAGAGGAGCCCAAGTAGAAGCACGCGCTGGTCCTGGGAGGTAGCCGGAAGCCCCGCGGCTGCGCGACAGGCCCCCAGGAAGCCCTGGCTACCGTGCGTGGCCGGGGCCGCGACCTCGGCCTCCGGACCCAGCCGGAGACCCAGGCTCCATTCCACCCGGGCCGGGGTCCTTCCTCCCCAGCCTGGCTTCTCCCGCACCCCAGCTCCACTTACAGCTCGCGTCTCCCAGCGGACCACGGCGGCGGCTGCACGTGCGCCTGCGCCGCGCGTGCGCACAGCCCTCGCCTGCCGGCAGCGCCTTCCTCTCGCTGTTGGGGCTGGGCGGAGGTGCTGAGCGCGCTACGCGTTGGTTTACTCCGCCGTAAGGATCTTCACCCACCCGATGTCGGGCTGCGGGGAAGCCACAGAGCGAGGCCTCAACTTTGAACCGGGAGCGGAGGCTCCGGCGTGTGCGCGGCGCAGCTGGCTTCTCGCGAGATCTTGGGGTTGCCATGGTGAGTTGCCGCCGCGTTCTCCAAGCCTGCGGGTTGGGAGACAGTCAAGCGGTGAAACTCCCCGGAGGCTGGTTCCCTCAGGGCGTCTTTGCTCCTGTCTGCACCCTCCTATTTCTAGCTCGGTTTCCGTCTTTCAGAGCCTTGTAAGTCTTAGCTCGCTCTTTTCCATCCTTCGGGACGCAAAACCCCGGCCCTTGCTGCCCCAGTGCCTCACTCTCCGTCGGATCCCTGCGCGCGACCCACCGCCCTGGAAAGAAGAGAAACGGGTGGGGGTGGATGGGTGGGTGAGACACTTCCCAGGCAGTAATGTAATCCTGGGAATAATGTAGAGAGGAAGAGTAGGGCTTTTCGCATCCCGGAACACGGCATCCTCTGCGGTGGTTACTGCAGCCAACGCAGAGGGCAGTTAGGAGCGGACTCGGGTGTCGCGGGCAGCCGGTGAAAACAGCGGAGGGAGAGTGTTAAGGTCAGGGCTCTACACTTGGCTATGCACTACACAGGTCAGTAGGTTGTTAATGAGCTGCTCACCCCCGCCCCTTTTCCTCTTCCGCTTTAACCTGACCCTCTCATACTGGGGGTGCTTCAAAAAGTCCTTGGAGAATGAAATTAAAAGATGAGTTTATTGTGGTGCAAAATTTCTTTTTAAATCCATGCACACGACGGTCTTCAGAACAGCCATGAAAAATGAGTATCATGAAGAAACCGCATAGATTTCATAGATTTTTTTTTGCACCAAAATACAATCTTTTTTAAAAAAATTATTTCTTTGCAAGACAGATAGACAAGACCGCAGTCCTGGTTCACACCCCAGATGCCCACAGTGGCCAGAACAAGGCTGGTCCGAATTCAGGAGCTGGAGCCCAGTGTAGGTCTCCCACACGGGAGGCAGGGCACCATCACTTGAGCATCACGTGCTGCCTCCCAGGGTATGCATCGCCGGGAAGCGGGAATCAGGTTGCAGAGGAACCAGCTGGTGTCTGAACTGCTAGGCCAAATGCCCACCCTGGTCTTTTAATTCCATTGCCATGAACTTTTTGAAGTATCCTCGTACATATTTTCCTCCTTTTTTTCAGTCTATGCTCTGCTTGTTTCCCATTTTGGAATCTGGTTTATATAAATTTTGATAGCCTACATAGTACCTAACTGGCCATAAAGTAAACACTACAAAAAGTGGCATTGCTTTTGGTCAAAAACTGCAAGTTACACAAGGTTAAAGTATAATCTGATTTTTATCACATGTAGAAAGTTGAAAAATGGCAGTTGGGGCAGCATTGTGGTGTGGTGGGTTAAGCTACCTTCTGTGTTGCTAGCATCCTGTATCAGATAGCTGGTTCCAGTCCCAGCTGCTCTGCTTCCAATCCAGCTCCCTGCTAATGTGTCTGGGAAAGCAGCAGAAGATGGCCCAAATACCTGGGCCCCTTCCGCCTATGTGAGAGACCCAGATGGAGTTCAGTGTTCCTGGCTCTGGCCTGGCCCAGCTCATGGTAGCTATCTGTGGAATGAACCAGCAGATGGAAGATCTCTTTGTCTGTATCTCTTCTTCACTCTGCCTTTCAAGTAAATATTTAAAAAAAAATGAATAAGGTTACCATGACATTGAGTACAACAACAGGCTTTTGTTTCAGAAAATGGATTATAGTAGTTCATTATGGAGAATTAAACATGGGATCCTAAAAACAGACACACAGATCTCATTGAAATACTAGAATTATGGGAAGAAAATCTGTCTAATTCTTTGTCCCCCTTAAGGTTCCAGATTTATCATTTGAGCATCATCTTAGTATTTATTAGCTGGGTAGGGATTATCAGTGGTTACATGTCTCTGGAGCCAGGCTACCTGGTTGAAATCCTAATTTCATCACTGACTAGCTATAACCCTAGGCTACCTAATTAACCTCCTCTGTGAAGTGATAAAAATAGTACCTGTTTTGAGGATTAGAGGAGCTGATCTATGTAAGATGCTTAGCATAGTGCCTGGCATATAGTCTTGGCAGTCCTGATAAATAGTTTTGTAATGAATACAGTGACAACCTGGCAGAATTAAGTGAATGAAAATTATATGTAGCTTCTTTATTTCAGTGCTTTTTTTAAGACTAGCGATACAGTTTCCACAATAATTTTGTGAAAATGAACATTTCAAAATTAGTTTCTGTCCCATTTGTATCACACAAGCATGACAACAAAAAAGAATTGTTTCCATGGCCCGGAATCTCCAAACATATTTCCTTTCTGCACTCCCTTCTAATTTGTTTCACAATATGTATGCTTTAATATGAGTCATTATAAAGGTATGTAAAAAGTTTGGAAGCAATGAAATTAAAAGAAGTCTATTTTGGTGGGGAAAATTCTGAGGGCAGGCATTTGGCTCACTGGTTAAGATGCGAGCTGGGATGGCTGTATCTCCTACTGGAGTGTCTGCTTGTTCCTGATTCCCACTTCCTGCTACTGCATGTCCTAGGAGGCAGCAGATGATGGCTTCTAAACATGGATGCAAAAGAAGGGAGGGAGGGAGGAAGGAAAAGGAGGAAAGAAGAAGAGGGAGAGAGGAAAGAAAGAAAAAAGGGGGCCAATGCTGTGGCACAGCGGGTTAAAGCCTCCATCTGCCGTGCTGGCATCTCATGGACACTGGTTCAAATCCTGGCTGCTCCACTTTCGATCCAGCTCTCTGCTATGGCCTGGGAAAGCAGTGGAAGATGGCCCAAATGCTTGGGCCCTGCACCTGTGTGGGATACCCGAAAGAAGCTCCTGGCTCCTGGCTTCGGATTGGCACAGCTCCAGCTGTTGAGGCCAGTTGGGGAGTGAACCAGCGTATGGAAAACCTCTTTCTCTGCCTCTCCCTCTCTCTCTGTGTAACTCTGACATTCAAATAAATAAATCTTTAAAAAAAAAACAAACAGTAAATGGTAATGAAAATTCTATGGGAAAGCTGAATGCAGGCTTAAAAAAAAAAAAAAGAAAATTCTTGTAAACCATCCTGTTGAAAAAATCAAGGGAGAAATGTTACAGTATCACTGAGACATTCTTTTTTTTTTTTTTAAAAGAAAAGCTTTTGATCAGATTCAGCATCCATTCATATTAACAATTCCTATGAAATTACAAGAGAAATTAATTTCTTTAACATAGTAACACACACCAAAATCTCACCACTGCAGTAAACATCACATTTAATAGTGAAAAACTGAAAGTATTACATTTAAGGTATAAGAGTGCTCATATTACTATATTTTTTAAAGATTTATTTTATATATTTGAAAGATGGAGTTACAGAGAGAGGTAGAGGTCTTCCATCACTTGGTTCACTCCATTCCAACAGCTGGAGCTGAGTCAAATCAGAGCCAGGGACTTCTTCCAGGTCTCCCACGTGGGTGCTGGGGCCCAAGGACTTGGGCCATCCTCCGGTGCTTTCCCAGTTACATTAGCAGGGAGCTGGATCAGAAGTGGAGCAGCTGGGACTCAAACCAGCACCCATATGGGATACCAGCACTGTAGACTGGGGTTTTAACCTGCTCGGCCACAGCACCAGCCCCTGCTAATATTACTATTACTACTGTTTGTTATACTAGATTATACAAGGAAAAGAAAGTTGTGAGGATTGGAGAGGAAGAAATGAAATTGTCATTATAGACTGCTAGCTATAGACCAAAAAATAAAAATAAAAATTGCCCAAAAAAGAATAAAGAGACTCAGCGGAGCCATTGGATATAATATACAAAGGTCAATTCCCTTTCTCTACTGCAGTAACAGATACACAGTGAAATTCAAAAAGCAACCTCCATCTGCATGATGAAAATCACAAAGTAACAGAAGTAAATCTACAGAAGTTGTGCAGTACCTTCAGTGGGGAAGAGTAGAAACTTTATCAGAAAACATGACAACTATTGAGAAACTCATGTAAGGGTCATGCATAGTAAACCTGTATCGTCAAGCTCAGCCTTGATCCTCATCCAACTGACAGAGACTTTCAGTGCAAGTCCAAGAAAAAGTAAAAGTTATTATTTTGTGGGACTTGATCCATGGATGCTAAAGTGTATCTGAAAGAACACAGTGCCAGAATCCTTCCTGAACAAAATGGGAAGCATTTAATAAGTAGGATAATGTGTGTGCCACAGGTGGAGGGATAAGCAAATAGAAGGCCCACGAGACTACTCTGTTATGCTATTAGGAGCAGCTGCTCCTGGCATTCTTTCTTAAGCCCACTGTAATCGGGCTTTGCTCCCCGCCACCAGTTAAACTTCTCTTCAGCTCATCAGTGAGCTAGCGCCAACTGTTAATCCTCAGTCGTTATGTTGCTTGAAACACTTTCCCATGAGATAAGCTTTTTTGACTTGATTTCCAGCATACCACATTCTCTGCAATTTCTTCCTCTTCTCCCCAGCTCCCTAATTTTGGAGTCCCCCAGGGTTCAATCTTCAGTTCTTTTTTCTCTTTTATATACACTCATGTTCTAGGGTCATCAAGTCTAGAATTCCAAATACTGTTCCTAGGTTGGTAACTTCTAAATCATCTATCCAGCCCAGACTGAACATGGATATTCAGCTGTCTATGTGACTTCACGGATGTCTCAGAGGTAACCGGGCCAAGCTGAACTGGTCTTTGCACCCCACCAAACCCCATCTGTGGCTCTTCTCATCAGGCCAGGAGGCGTGGGATTATGCGTCACTCCTTTCTTTCTGTCACAGCCCATGTGCAATTTGTCAGCAGATTCTGTTGACTCCACCTTCAAAATACATCCAGAATTTGAAGTACCCCTCACTGCTGCCACTGCTGCTACCTGAGCTGGAGACATCCGTAAGTTCTCCCCGAGATTACTATCACAGTAAGGATAATTTTCCTTTTCCCCTGATTGTCTATTTTCTTTTCTTTTTTTTTAAGATTTATTTATTTATTTGAAAGACAGAGTTACAGAGAGTGGTAGAGACAAAAAGAGAGGTCTTCCATCTGCTGGTTCACTCTCCAACTGGCTGCAATGGCCAAAGCTATGCCAATCTGAAGTCAGGAGCCAGGACCTTCTTCCGGGTCTCCCACATGAATGCAGGGGCCCAAGGACTCGGGCCACACTCCACTGCCTTTCCAGGCCACAGCAGAAGACTGGACGGGAAGTGGAGCAGCCAGGACTCGAACCGGCACCCATATGGGATGCCAGTACTTCAGGCAGGGGTTTTAACCTGCTGCACCACAGTGCCGGCCCCACCTGTTGTCTGTTTTCAAGGTAGGATCAAGAGCAATCCTGGTAAGGTCAGGTCCAGTGCTCTACTCCCACTAAAAGCCAAATAAACACTTTTGGACCAGGCTTTATACGATCCGACCTCTGTCTCTCGCTGCCTGCCTCAGCCACACTGGCCTCCTTCCTGTCCCTCCCTCCTGCTCGGGAAGTCCAAAATCGTCTCAGGGGAAACTCTGCCTCCAGGGATCTGCCTGGCCATCTCCCTCACCTCCTTCAAGTTTTATTCCAACTTCTACTTTCCAAAGAGACTAATCCTGACTCCCCTACTTGCAACTGCCAATCACCTCCTCGTTCCCCACATTCTTCGGACTTGTCCTCTTTTTTCTGCTCCTTTTAAAAATAGGACTTTTCACCCATCTTGTAATAGACTATGTAATATGCATATGATGTGTTTATTATCTGTCATCCCCTACCAGAATAATACTGGAAGAGAGATTTTGTTTCTTTGCTTTACGGATATTTCTCAAGAGCCTAGGACAGTGTCTGGCTCCCTCAGGCACTCAGTGAATATTTGCATGCATGAATATGGGAGGATAGGATGAAATGGAGTTGGAAAATCCCAAGGGGCTTCACAACTAAAGGTACTCTTCTGTTTCTTAATAGAAAGTGACTCCTAAGTGTGCCTTTCATTGTTTTAAAGCTTTACATCTATATGTATGTGTATAACCAACTTTTAATAAAACAGTCCAAAAAAAAAAAAAAACCTATTCTATTGTCTGTCCAAGCTGAAGAGCCCCCACGAGCTGACGTGGCACTGAGTGGGGAATACTGTTATGGATGCTTGGAGGACAAGGATTCCGCTGCTTTGCTTCCTTCTTGCTCCCTGAGAAAATGCCACAGCTCTGCCAATCTGATGGGGGAGGACGACCCAGGAGAAGAAATACTTTGAAAAGAGTGTTTTACAGAATATTCTAGACTTAGAGAATTAGAGCACAGAGTACCTCCCGCTCTCCTCTTCTGGTTTTGTTTTCTTTTAATGTTTATTTATTTTCATCTACTTGAAAGGCAAAGCAACACATTTTGCATCTGCTGGTTCACTCCCCAAATGCCAGCAACAGCGGGGCTCTATCCAGGTCCCTACCCATTTCTCCTACATGGGTGTCAAGGGCCCAAGGACTTGAGCCACCATCTGCTGCCTCCCAGGATGCATTAGCAGGAGGCTAGATAGGAAGTAGAGAAACCAAGATTCACACTGGCACTGCAGTGTGGGACGTGAGCATACTGAGCAGTGGCCTACTCCCTTATACCAAAATGCCTGCCCCCTCCTGGTTTCTTATAATTATCATGTCAAAGGTAGCTGAAGATGACATTGAACTTCAGTGCAGAAACACTGAGAGGGGTTTTCCACCTTTGACTGGACTAACCTAGGGTGTTTCTTCTTTTCTCGTTTTTAGGTATCACTGAATTTTTATTTTAACAAAGATAAGGCAGGCCAGCGCCGCGGCTCACTAGGCTAATCCTCCGCCTTGCAGCGCCGGCACACCGGGTTCTAATCCCGGTCGGGGCACCGGATTCTGTCCCGGTTGCCCCTCTTCCAGGCCAGCTCTCTGCTGTGGCCAGGGAGTGCAGCAGAGGATGGCCCAAGTGCTTGGGCCCTGCACCCCATGGGAGACCAGGAGAAGTACCTGGCTCCTGCCATCGGATCAGCGCAATGCGCCGGCCGCAGTGCACCGGCCGCGGTGGCCATTGGAGGGTGAACCAACGGCAAAGGAAGACCTTTCTCTCTGTCTCTCTCTCTCACTGTCCACTCTGCCTGTCCAAAAAAAAAAAAAAAAAAAAGATAAGGCATTCATGGTTTGAAATATTATTTTATTATTATTTATTTACTTTTGACAGAGAACACATTCTCCCATCTGCCAATGGTTCACTCTCCAGATGCCTGGGGCTGGTCTGGTGATAGCAATTCTGGAGCCAGAATTCAGTTGTACCTCCCAAGGTGGGTAGCAGGAATTCAGCTCCTTGAGCCATCGCCACTACCATCCAGGGTCTCCATTAGCAGGAAGCTGGAGGGGGGAGCTGGAACCGGGAATGGAACCCAGGCACTCTGACAGGGGACACACATGTCTACTGTCAGGTCAAACACTGGCCCCCAGCGCTCCCCGTTCTGAAGCTGCCACTGCGCATGTCCCATTGTCCAGGACTTTTTAAAAACAAAAACCAAGAAAACGGCCCAGTATGTTTTTCTAACATTTTCCTTTACTTGGAAATAGATTTATTTCCATTGATTTGCTGTCAAGGAGAGAAAACAAGCAAAACAAAACAAAACAACAAGATTTACATGAGAACGTAGCAAACCTTTAAAAAATGCAGTATTGTACAAAAACAAGCTCAGATGTTCTGAGGGCCTCCCCCCGACCCCGCCACATCCCTGGTTCAAATCCAGTACCCTCTGAAACTGAGTTTCTTTGCTCCCAGTCCCCTTTCTCCACCACGAAAAACGAAGACCAGAAAGCGAACCACCCGTGCGCCCAGGGACTGTGTTCCAGCTCCAGGGAAGGCACTGAGACGCGGCTCACAGCCCGGTTCTGCGCGTCCGTAGCCTCGCGGGGCGTGGGGTGTGCGCCCTGGGGAACCGGATCAGGCTGCACAGGCTCGCAGTGCTGGGCCTTGCCCATAAAGAAAAGCAAGTTAGGGTAGTTTTGCGTCACAAAGAGGAAAAAGGAGACAAACCGCAAACCCCCTCTCACCCAGCGTTCGCAGACTCTGGGGAGGTGACTCCTAGGCGAATCCTCGTCGTCAGCGTTGCACACGGGTACAGAGGCGGAATCCCAAGTGAGCTCCACGTCCTGCAAACAGCCTCCTGAGAAAGACCAGAAATACGATCCAGGAGCGGAGAAGAAATACTTTAAACTCCCTTCCTTTAGCCTTTCCGCTGACGGGGACTCGAGCTGCTGAGAACCGCGGTGGCGGCCGGGGAGGCCCCGCGAGTCAGCGAAGCGCTCTCCCCTAGCCCCGCCCTCCAGCGCCTCCGGCCAATGGGAGCCGGCTGGGCCGGGAGCGCGGCCAATGGGAGGGCCGAGGGAGGAGCTCTGCCTTTAAGAAGCAGCGGCCGGCGAGGCAGAAGCTCAGCAGCAGGCAGAGAGCAGGTGTGCATTGGTCTTCGCCAGGATGTCTCTGCAGGTAACCCGGCGAGTGAGGGGTGCTCCGAGAGGGAGGCGCCCGAGCAGGGGGCGGGGCAGGCGTGGCGACCCCTTGCAGCTGCCGCCCACCCTCCGCGCCTTCCCGGAGCGTTCCTGGTGGTTCTGAGGGCATTCCCACCCCTCCCCGAGGGCAGCACTTTGCCACCTGTTTACCAGGAGCGGGGACTGCCCATGGCAACTTCCTGGACCCCAGGGACCGATTAAACCGCGTGAGCGTCAGAGTAGGCGCAGTCCCCGAGGAGCTCGACCACAACCGCTGCTGATGGAATGGATGACTTCCTTGTATGTCGTTTTTCATGTGCCTGAATGCAACTGTACATATGTGTGCATCTGAAGTATGCACGCCTATTCTGTTGCTTTCTGTGGTTTTGGTCTTCTACCTAGTACTTCTACTTAGTATTTAGCATTTTCTCACCATTAAATATTCTCCAAAAATATAGTTTTAAATGCATAAGACTTGATAGAATGAACACAACTAAATGTGTTAACCATTTCTTCATGCAGGAAGTTATGTGGGTTAAAGGTGGACACTGCAGTCAGCTGGGCTCAAGTCTGTAAACCTCGCCCCCTCCCAGCCTGTGAAACAGTGACTTTACCTCCACCACCTCCCCTTCCCTCTCCCACACTGGCGTGTGAACACAAACGCTGTCAAATACGCCGCCTCCATAGTGTATATAAAACAGTGCCGGGCTTGTGGTAAGAGTCGAGGAAACATCAGCTGCTCGTTGAACACGTAGATATTTTTCTCTTGTGAATGACTTCATGTAATCCATACTGAACTTGTCCCAAAATAATCAAAACTTACATGGAAGATATGAGAGTTTCCTTTTTCACTTCGTACTTTGTTCTCCGTGGAACTCCGTGCAGCCTTTATGCTGAACCCTGGCAAATACTGTTGGCCCTGCCTGGAGCAGCTTCCCCTGCCCCCGCCCACCCAGGGAACGAGGTGAACGAGGACCCTCCCAGGCTGAGCAGAGCACCTGCTCATCACCTCCGGAAAGGACTCGCACCCTTCCCGCCCTGTTCCCAGAGCCGCAGCGCCCTCTCAGGGCTCACTTGCCCCTGGGACTCGGAGCTGCTGCGGGCGGATTGTCCTGCGCACGCATCGAGGCCGGGCACCGCGTGTTGCTGTTCAGTGCTGAGCTCTGGGAGCCGAGTGCTCACAGCCAAGTCAAGAACGTGTGCCCTGGGGATCGCGTTGAGTCCTAACACCTTCCTGCCCGGATGCTCGGTGTCTTTGTGAAGCTGCACTTCAGAGGAGTTCGCTTCTCGCGGGGGTTCCCGGGCAGCGTGCCTCACAAAGGCCTCACAACCCGGGATGCGGTGGGACAGCCCGGTACAGCGGGAAGGTCCCGATTCACGGTGCCCGGGAGGTGCCCGCGAGGAGGAAGCCGGGCCCTGCTCCACAGCGGGGTGCCTGTCAGGGGAGGGGCAGCCTGGGAAACTTTGTCAGGGCTTACCTCTTCTGTCGAGAGGGTCCAGGACTTTCCTTAGCTCTTTAATTTTCCAGAAACTTCTTCCTAGAAGGCGAGGCCCTCTCACAGTTTTTAAGACGGCTTAGAATTCTGCTCAAGGCTTGGCTCCCAGCAGGGAATGGAGTGGACATCCTTGGACCGTGGCAGGAGATTCTACAGCAAACAGAACACCTGAGATGGGTGACAAGCCTGAGGAGGAAGACCCAGCGCCTCTTTCCGAACAGCCTTGCCTTGAGCGGCCCTGGTCCCTCATGCAGCCTTTCTATTTTCTCATTATAAACACAGTACAGGCACATTATAGAAAATCTGTACAGAATGTATTTAAAAGCCAAGAAACTTACCAGTATCAAAGGCAGTTACTGTTTGAATATGTTAGTGTGTTTCTTTCTAGTCTTTGTTTTTTCTACACAGTTTACAGGGCTGAGTTTATAAAACAATTTTGTGGTTTTGGTTAAACCATAATCTAAGCATTTTTAAAGTCTTGCTTCACTGTGAATATTTATATCAGTTTCTTCTAGAGCTAGGTTTTCCCACCAAGGAACCTTAAATAGAACAGAAAATAGCTAACCGTCGTCGACCACACTATTCTAAGGACTTTGTGTGTATTAACTTATTTAAAACCTTCTGGCCCCCTTGCGAGTGGTGCTCCTATGGTGTGACACTCCAGATGAAGGACAGACATGCAGAGGTTCTGCAGCTCGTGAGATCCTGCAGCTCTTGCGTGGTTATGCTGTGATCCAAACTAAGGCCGTCTGGCTCCTAACACTAACCCCAACCCTAACCACACTCTAACATTATGTGTAAAACAGCTGATGGTTTCCTAGCAGGATGATGTGCCCTTTGTCACAGCGTTGCTTTAAGAAGAATATAAAATACAATTAATCCTCTGGCTGTGAATGTAATAATTAAGAGGTCTGTAAGGGTGCATGCTTCCTTCTTGGTCCCCTGTAGGAACTGATCAGGAGGCTGGGCCATTTTCAAGGTTACATAAGTTAGAGACCCTGGTCGCCAATTTGCAGATGATTTCTGTCTGTCACAAACAACTGTTCTAGTTGTGCTTTTGTCCTGTCTTCGGGGTTGGAAGGAGACTTAACCCAGTAACTGCTGTGATCACAGAGTTCTGAGGTTACTGTGGGGCTATCCGCTTTCCCTCCTGGGCCTGTGGACCAAAATGGAGCTCTGACATTGGAGAAAGAACTGTGAAGGGCAGGGTTAGACTGCCTCCTTGTTAGATATGCAGGCCTCTGACAGTTCCTGCTTACTTCCAGCTTAAAACAAATGACATGAGGTAAAATATAGTTTATTTAAAGAAAAAGGATTTAAGAGGTCTGTTCATAAGAATAACCACTAAGGCCCTTTGCACAGTACAAATCTGGAGGTTAAAAGAGGGGAAAGGATAAGGCCCCTGGGAGTGCTGTTTCCTGGAATACAGTAAGGAGTGGCTGCTGGCTGCTTCCTGGGCTGTGGGCCTAGGTCAGCCCAAGGTTCCTGGGGAGGTACGCAGGCTGGGGTTGTCAGAGTTAGCTCAGGAGAAAACTTACTCCTCAAGCATGCTTAGAGTGAACCTTTGCTAAGTTGGCTACACAACTTCTCTATTCTGTACACCAGTTGAAATAAATCTTATGGGTTTTGGTTGAAAGGAATTTATATGAGCAATTTGACTAAATCAGGAATATTTTGAAAGATTGTTTATTGGGGCTGGTGCTGTGGCAGCGGCTCCTCTTCAGATCCAGCTCCTGCTAATGTGCCTGGGAAAGCAGTAGGAGATGGCCCAGGTGCTTGGCCCCTTTACTCACATGGGAGACCTGGAAGACGCTCCTGGATCCTGGCTTCAGCTCGGCTCAGCTCTGGCTGTTGCAGCCATCTGGGGAGTGAACCAACAGATGGAAGACCTCTCCTTCTCTCTGCCTCTGCCTCTATAACTCTGCCTTTCAAATAAATAAATAAATCTTTTTAAAAAATTATTTACTTATTTGAGAGGCAGCGTTACAGAGAAGAGAGAGGTAGCTTCCATTCGCTGGTTCACTCCCCAAATGGCTGCAACAGCTGGGGCTGGGCCGGGCAGAAGCTGGGAGCTTCATATGAGTCCCACAATGGATGGCAGAGGCCCAGACACTTGAGCTGCCTTCCACTGTTTTCCAGGCACATTAGCAGGGAGCTGGATCGGTTGTGGAGCAGCTACCACTCAAACCAGTGTTCACAGGGGATGCCAGTGCCAGAGGATGAACCCACTGTGCTGCAGTGCCAGCCCCTGAATCAGGAATATTGATTGTCCTTGGCACCGAGCTGGTCCATGCACAGGTGTCAGTGATACTGTTGAAGAACAGGGGCACGTGGGCGCTGGGGGAAGAATGTCCTGCCCGATGGCGTGAACTGCTAACCCAGTGCCTGCGTGCAGTGAGATGTGGGCTTGAGAAAGTAGTGTCACATAAAGAAAGTGTCACTGAGTTAATGCCCTTTAAAAGCCATAGATAGTATTAAGAATTTGATTTAGTTCTGCATATGTTGTCTGAATATCATACTAGGAGAGGTGTCCATGAGTTCAGGAAATTAGGATAATTTTGGTGGAAGCAGAGCAGAAATAACTTAATTTTTTTAAAATGTTTGTCTGTTTTCACCTACTCTAAAGGCAGAGCAACAAAGAGGGAGAGAAATCTTTCATCTTCTGGTTCACCCTCCGCATGCCAACGACAGCCAGGGCTGGGCCAGGTACTGGGAGCCTGGAACTCCATCTGGGTTTCCCATGTAGGTGGCAGGGGCCCAGACACTTGAACCATCCTCTGCCGCCTTCCAAGATGCATTAGCAGGGGAGTGGATCAGTGCCCACATATGGGATGTGGTTGTCCCAAGTGCAGCCTAACCCACTGTGCCACAGCACTGCACAATAGCTCACTTCTAATTGAAACCTTCTCCTCCTCTCTGGGTTCCCACTCCCTGGTGGTAAATGTCTTCAAATGAAGATGGGCCTGCCTAACATTAGCAAATGCACTGTGTGTCTTTTCTTTCCGTTTTTTCCCCCTTTAGGCTGATTTTGACAAGGCCACCAAAGAGGTGAGGAAGCTGAAGGCGAGACCCAGCGATGAAGAACTGAAAGCCCTCTATGGGCTGTATAAGCAAGCCATCATTGGCGACGTGAATATTGGTATTGCGTGGCTGTAGAAGAAGACTAAGTGTGAACTTGCTTTGAACAGTGTTTATAGAAACACGCAGTGCACAGTAAACCTGAAAGTATCTCTCCTTCTTTTGGCAGCCTGTCCAGCAATGTTAGACTTAAAAGGCAAGGCCAAGTGGGAAGCATGGAGCCTCCAAAAAGGTGTTTAATTCTTTAACAAGTCCAAAACAAGGCTTCTCAACCTCCCCGTGCAGCAGTCCCTGAGATAACCTCTTGTGTCTTTTTAGGATTGTCGAAGGATGATGCCATGAGTGCCTACATTTCTAAAGCTAATGAGCTGATTGAAAAATACGGGGTTTAGAATTCTTAGAATGCAGCAGATGAGAAATTTTCCTTCTGGAGCCTTCGTGGCAAAGGTACCATAACCTAACATTGAGTGTGGAAAATGCACTGTTAACCCCATGTATCGTGTATACTTTCACTATTAGCATGATTTATAATATTTAACTAGGAATATATTATAACTGCATAGCTGATTAAATCTTACTTGATTAAACCAGGTGAGACTTGAGTTTTTTTTTAAAATTATTACTCTGATGGAACGTGCACAGAAACTTTAACCATTGTTTGTTCTTGTGGTTTTTCTCTGCTACAGTGAGTTGGTGTCAGTGGTGTAATAAATGCAGCTTGTTAAGAATCAGTAGCAGGATGATTCATTGTTACATGGGTGGCTTTGGGCTCACCTAGACGTGGGGACTGTGGAGTGGCAGAATTGCCTGGTCCAGGTCTTCTGTGACTTATGAGATGACCTGGGACAAGTTAGTTAACCTTGCTAAGCTTCATCTGTGTAGGAAAAAAAAAATGATATCACTGTCACAGAGTGGTTGTAAGATTTGAATGCGCTAACTATAATCATCCGGCCCTCATATTACAGAAAATGCTATATACAACATAACAAGTAAGCTGAAAAAATATTTTAAAAAAGAAACTCAAGTGTCTATCCATTGGGGCCAGCACTGTGGCATAGAAGGTTAAGCTTCCACCTGTGGCACTGGCATCCCATATGGGTGCTGGTTCAAGTCCCAGCTATTCCACTTCCAAACCAGCTAATGTGCCTGGGAAAGCAACGGCAGTCCTTGGGCCCCTGCACCCACACGGGAGACCTGGAAGAAGCTCCTGGCTTTTGCTTGGCCCAGCTTCTGCTTTTGCATCCACTTGGAGAGTGAACCAGCAGATGGAAGACATTTTCTATCTCTCTCTTTCTCTCTGAATCACTGCAATTAAATACTTTTTTTTATAGTCTCTCCATCATTCTTCAAAGAAAGAAAAAGCTGCCATGAAAAAGTGGACTATTTTTCTTTACACTTTTAAATTTAAGAAAAAAAAAACACTTGAAAATGTATCTAGTGATAAATGAACCACTACTGTGTACTTATGTTCAATATCATCAGAATGAAAATATAAGAGTCTGGAATATTGGCCCATTGTTCAGTTTCTGGCCAGTACACAAGTTCTTTGAAAGAGGATAGTTACATTTTAATCTGAAAACTTATTTGAGATACCATAGAAAAAATGCCTGTGAAAAGGGTGTATCTGTATTCTCTTTGTAAGAGTTCAAGTTGAGTGTGGTATCATCAGAGAAATAGATTAACTTCATCGTTTTTTGTTTTGTTTTGTTTTGTTTTGTTTTGTTTTGTTTTTTGACAAGCAGAGTGGACAGTGAGAGAGAGACAGAGAGAAAGGTCTTCCTTATCTGTTGGTTCACCCCCCAATCGCTGCTGTAGCCAGTGCGCTGCGGCCGGCACACCACGCTGATCCAAAGCCAGGAGCCAGATGCTTTCTCCTGGTCTCCCATGCGGGTGCAGGGCCCAAGCACTTGGGCCATCCTCCACTGCACTCCCAGGCCACAGCAGAGAGCTGGCCTGGAAGAGGAGCAACCAGGACAGAATCCGGCGCCCCGACTGGGACTAGAAACTAGTGTGCCGGCGCCGCAGGTGGAAGATTAGCCTATTGAGCCATGGCACCAGCCAACTTCATGTTATTTTTAAAAAGTAATTTTTTTTGAGAGAGAGAGAGAGATAGAGCTCCCATCCTCTGGTCCACTCCCCAAATGCCCACAACAGCTGGGGCTAGGCCAGGGCTGCAGTCAGGATCCAAGAACACATTTCAGGGCTCCCAATAGAGAGGCAGAAACCTGATCACTTACTTGAGCTATTACCTGTGCCTCCCAGGGTGCTCCTTGGCAGGAAGCTGGAATCAGAAGCAAAGACCGGACTTGAACCCAGGTACCCCAGTGTGTGTCCCAAGCTGTGTCTCAACCACTGCATCAAACACCTGCCCCAGTGTGTTGAATTATTCTATAGGGGCCTCAAAAAATTAATAAAAAATGGAATTAAAAAGCAAGTTTACTTTGGTATAAAAAAGTTTGAAATCCATGCATAGTATTGTCATTTTTTTTTTGTAAAATACAGTCTCATAATACACAATTTCCATGGACTTTTTGATTTTTCATATTCAGTTAATATATTTAAAATGGTAAAACTACAAGCATTAAGTACAGCATAATGGCTGCCAGAGAGGAAGAAGGTGGGTGTGGCTGTCAAAGGGCAGCAGGAGAGGTACTGGGATGTTGGGTTGTTCTGTATATTCACTGTAGCCATGGCAGCTTCCTGATTGGGATGTTACATTTTAGTTTTTACAGTGTTGTTACAAATTGGGCAAATGGCTCTGTGGGATGTCTGTATTTTTTTTATAACTGTAGGAATCTAAAGTCATCTCAAAAAAAGTTCATTTTAATAATCAAGGTTGATTTGTCAACTGGAACATTTTGAAAAGTCAAGCTGCCTCTTATGGCCACTAAGATTTGCCTGAAGATGCTCAGATGTCTTCCACAATGAAGTGAAGGCCCACATCCTCCAAGGAGAAGCTATCAGCTACACCTGGGCTTTTGCAATAGAGGTGTTTTAGAGTTCTTTAGAGACAGAAGCCACAGGATATGTGTATAGATACATGAAGAGGGAATTATTAGAATTGTCTCATGTGATTATGGTAGCTGAGAAGTCCCATGACAAGTTGTAGCAGGCTGGAGACCCCAGGATGCTGCTAGTGTGACCGAGTCTAAGGGCCTCAGAACCAGGGAGGCCCAGGGTGTAAGTCTCAGTTCAAGGCAAAATGTCCAGGCACCAGCACGGGGGCTGCTGGCCTAAGACCTGGAGTCCAAAGGCCAGCCACTGATGCCCAAGGCAAGAGGCAAGTGCGTCCCAGCTCACAGAGCAGGAGACGCCAGTTTGATTTCTGTATTGGTTCTCTCCAGACCCTCCATCAGTTGATGGTGCCTGCCCACACTGAGGCGGGCTCTTCCCTCCTAGGTCCCTGAGACTCATGTGCTAATCTTGTTTGGAAACACTCTCACAGACACACCCAAAATAGCACTTTTCTAGGTTCGTAAGTATGCCTTGGTATTTTAGGAGTCAAGTTGACACCTGAAGTTGACCAGCACATGCAGGCTTGGAAACTCTCAGAGCTGGTCTGTGTGGACCTCGCCTCCCCTGTGGAGAGGCAGGAAAGCTTGGCCAGAGCCTGGCACGGGACACATTGTGAGATTCCCACTTATAGACCATATTGAATAAAAATGTTTCGCATTAATAATGATAAACCCACATTGCTTTTGTACCAATTCTTCAGTAAGAGAGCCCTGAGAGTTTAGAACGGGAGGGTAAAGTACAACATACACTAAGCATTGAGTACAATTTGCTTGAAGCTATTTCTAAACTGAATTTGTGGATTCCAACTCATGTCCTTCCCCAACAATTTTATATTATATTCATTTTGTTAAAAAGGATGATCTATTAGGAGGAATGTTTCCTGTGTGTACTTTTCTTAATCTTACTAAGACTCTACGCACATTACTTAAAACAGTAACAAAAATATGAAGCCATATTGTATGTTCATAAACACACTGATGCTTTCATATTTCCTATGTAGCACTTTAATATGCAATTCTATGTAAGGAAGAGGCGTTGGTTGCATTAAGTAGTAGAGTTTATTGTGAAGAGCTGAAGGAAACAGGCAAATCAGGGGGATCTGATTGCATGGTCAGGCCTTGAAGAGACTGATGTGGTTTGGAAGGTGACAGAGGTCAGGGGCTGTGTGGCTCCAGAGGTGCCGTGACTGTTTGCCCCCTTCAGTAGCAATCTGTGGATCCCATTTGTAGTGTGCTACTGTTACTCTGACTCTTCTAAAGCTTTCCTTTTTCTCTTGGTTCCTGTTTGTTTCCAGCTTCTGCCTTCTCCCTATGCCAGGTTTCAGTTGTCACAGAGTGAAGCCAAGGCAGCCTGGCTGGAATGGCATTTGTGCTTGGTCAACCCCTATACTACGGGCCAGACTGTGGACTTGCTGTCACTGGGAGGGCTCACTGTGGGCCTCAGCCAGTCTTTGCCAGGGTAGCAGGGCACCACACAGCCAACAGGCAGTTGGTGTAGAAGGAGAGCCAGGGTTGTAGGCATGCTGAGGACTTGCTGGTACACATGACAACAATTGATTTAGGGCCATCTTCTTTTCACAAAGTGGTAGTTTAAATTTTCTTATTAAATGGGCTCCCCTATATTTCTAAAGATTAGATCAAACTTTGAGCCCACAGTGTTTTGGTCGAACAATAATTTCAAACATTTCCCTTGTTAATCACTTTCACCATTAAATAATTGAAGCAAATAAATGGCTAATTTACCAAGCAGGATTTTGCAAACCTCCCCCAGAAGAGAATCAAGTGAGATTCTAACGTGAAGACAAAGGGCTTCGTCAGAAGTGTTTGTTGTCTCTCTGACTTTTGTCCCCAGGTACACACATGCTTCATGAAGAAATAGATTTATGTTTAACAAATCACCCTGAGAGTAGAAAGTGTGTAATTTCCAATCTCTGAAGAAAACGATTAAGCATACATCTGAGTAACTGAGAAGCGTAGCGTGCGGACACCTGGACTATTTTACGACTACAAGGAAGAGATCTAACAATTAGTAAGCGACGATAGTTCCAGACACTTGGCTATGTAGTTCTTGATGAAATTCTCATTGGCAGGTTCCTTAAGATAAAAGTGGTCTCCAGGAAGCACATGAACGTCAAGACTTCCACTGGTTATGTCTTTCCAGGCTAAAAATGGAATCAATAATAAATGACATTTACCAATGACAGCTAACGATTTACTTCCAGATATTGTTTCTCTGAGAGCTGACACTCAGTGGTGGAGTTCCTTCCAAGGTCTCAGGTTCTGTGTGGCCCGTGTTTTTAATTTTTCTAAGGCCCATCAGTCTACAGCAGTATCACCTGTGTCCTCTCATGTTGCATGGGACCAGCATCTCTCCATTTACATGAAATATTACCAGGCCCAATTTTCTACTTATTGTGACAACTGCCAGTTGATGTTAGCTGAAAATCATATGTGAAATACATATTCTGATACAATAGTGAGAACAATGAAAATAATTTCACCTTGCATATCCTTTTGCAATATCATCAGAGCCCAGGAAACATGTTAAGTCACAAGAAATGACAGCTTTGGAGGGTGTGTCATAAAAGAGCTGGTTAGTAATTCTTTGTAATCAGCACCCAGACTCTTTCCCTCTTGATGACCTCACTGAAACGACCATGGGGTGGCCCCCACTTTCCCCTCGGCCAGTCTCAGCAATGCCAGCCTCGCTTTCACCAGGGACACCTCTCCCTCTCAGGGCCTACCCGAGACCATTGCCAGTATCTAATTTCTAGAAGATTGTGAGAGGAAGCAGGATAGCACTGGGGTACTTGTACAACTCTGGGTGAGGCTGCTTACAACTGATACATCATTTTTAAAAAAATACAGATTAAAATACAGTGTTCATATCAAGAAATGCTCTTAAGTCTACAGATCAATGAGCCTTTTTGGCATCACCCTCAAAGTTCTTACTATTCCACTGTCAGATATTTTCTAAATGTGTGAAATGAGTACATTATTACATGGTATGATTCAATGAAGCAACATTTATAATTGTATGCCAAATGAACTGACATTCACATAATTTTATCCTCTCTGTATTAACTACCACAAATAACAGAAAATAGTTTTCTTTTGGGACTAGCTAATTTCACTAAGCCTAATAACCTCCAGTTGCACCCATTTAGGATTTCATTATTTTTATGGCTGAGTAATATTCCACTGTGTGGAATACCACATTTTCTTTATCCAATCATCAGTTGGTGGGCATCTAGGCTGATTGCATATCTTAGCTATTGTGAATTGAGCTGCTATAAATATGGGA